TCTCTCTTACATTTGAGGTATTTATTTTTTTATATTATTTAAAATTACATCGAATCTTTAATACAGAAAATTCTGATCATGCTCATAAATGTGTACTTGGATTACTTTATTTAAGATGTTCATATCGTACAGTTGTGTTATACGAAGAATATTTTTGGGTTTGTAAAATTCTATTTTTACATACAAAATAAATTAGTAAAGAAAAACGAACGTATTTTTAAAAACGTCCGTATACGTGTTGCTAATTTCATCAAATTATATAAAATAACATAATAACTATAAACATACAATATAATTTCATACATATTGAAATAAATGCTGTGTTTAATGTAAATAATTAATTACTTAGCAGCCTTTTTGTTGAAATTTTATTTTTAAAGGACATACAGAATACTTTCAAGAAACTAAATATTTGTATTTATAAAAACGAAACTTAAAATAACAGTTGAAACTTTTTACGATATTCCAGATTAACATAAATCCCACAGAACAAAGGCGAATAACAAATAACGAAAAGGAAAAGAAAATAATCCGTACACTTGTAAAATATTTCGCTTCAGGATGACATAAAAGCAATTCTTTATCGTTATTTTAGGTATGCACGCAAGGCGTATTCAAAAAGTACACATTGCATAAAAATATAAATATTATCTCGCTATATATGCCATCTTTCTCTCTTCGAATTCAAACAACATTCAAGAAAATCATATTTCTAAGAAGATTGAGATACACTTTGTCAGAATTTTTTTTTTATTTCATTTATATTTATCTTTGAGATTTGTTTTGTCGACGTTAAACCCGGTAATCTCCTTTTATCAGAGCGTGAGAATTCAGAAAGAAAAATCGCCGAGACTGTGCCAGCTTTGGGAACTAGAAGTTCCTCTATTTTTCCCTTGATACCTCAAAATAATAGATTTTTCCCCTGCTTTGTTCTATCTCCTAGTATACAACAACCTATTTCTTTTTAACAAAAGAAATTCGATTTCATCTACTTTGTAATACATCCCACACAGGATATCCGTACTCCTTTTTATATGCCTTTTGTAAACTACACAAATTAATTTTTGTAACTCGGTAAGTTATTTAAGTTATTAACCAGCAAGTAACTTTTTGAATGAAGGTTCAAAAAAAATCTTATGATAAGAGAAGTTAATTTTTAAATACACCCTAGAGAGAACGATGGATTTGATACGATGTTCATAAAAGATAAACATTTAAAAACCATCGTTTCAAACGAGTTTCGGGATTTATGAATACTTTGTTCTAATTAGATTATATAAAAGTTAATTAGAATTTTATAATAACAGTGGGATATATATCTCTCTCTTTAAGCGAAGCTGATCATGTTGATAAATTAACGCTGAATAAAAAAAATCGTTCAAAAATGGGCAAAGTTTAACTTTATGTTAAGACTAGATCTTATTATATATAAACTATAAATATAAAATATAAATTATAATGTAACCTAACTTTTAGTTATGAAATACACTGCTCAAAATAATTAAAGGATATTGCGGTTTTAGGTGGATCCTGTGGCTGGGAAACTTTTTAGCTGATTGATACATGGTCAACAGACGTAGTAGGCTATATGAGAATAAATTACACATGTTTGGCAGAAAAAAATGCATTTTATTGCGCATTTGTGTACGAAAGGAAAACACAATTTGTGCATATGAGAAAAAAATAAGAAGAAAAGGTGTTTTCTTCAAAGGAAATCATTTTCAGTAGGGGTTATGGTTTCCAAGGACGGCCAGCAACGTTGAGCACCTTTGAGGCATGGAGTCAATGATGCTATTATTCTGTTCCACTCTTCCAGAAGAGCTCTTTCCAGTTCTTGGAGAGTTTGTGGGGGTGGTTGGCGGCCAGCAACTCGTCTTCCTAGAGCGTCCCAAACGTGCTCTATTGGATTCATGTCTGGAGAACAACCTGGCCATTCCATTCGTACGATTCCTTTCTCGAAAAGGAAGTCCTCCACCAGGTTAGCACGATGTGGCCTGCAGTTATCGTCCATTAAAATGAAGTAATCTCCGATTGCTGCAGCGTAAAGGACTACAATAGGTCTGAGGATCTCATCCCTATATCTTCAAGCAGTCAGAGGTCCATCTCGAATGATGTAGAGGTCTGTGCGCCCGTCAATGGAGATGCCACCAAACACCAACACTCCCCCACCGCCAAATCTGACACTTTCGTTCGCGAACGTAAGATTATTCCTATTGCTACGGTCCCTCCAGATGAAAATACGTCTATTATCCGGATAAACAGAAAAACGAGACTCGTCAGAAAAAAGAACATTGCTCCATTCATTTTTCCTCCAGTTCACATGCTCTGTTGCCCACCCCCTGTGGTCGCGACGATGCCTCGATGTTAGTCTAACACATACCATCGTTCGGTGAGCATGCAGACCTACACCATGGAGCCGGTTTCGGACAGTCTGAGTTGAAACCGTGGTACCAGTAGCCGAGCGAAGGTGTTGTTGAAGAGTAGCGTTCATATTTCGGTTTCTCCGAGCCGTTAACACTAAATAACGATCTTCATTGGGCGTTGTTGCCCGTCTACGACCTTGCCCTGGTCTTCGGCCTGCACTTCCAGTTTCCAAAAAACGGTTCCAGATCCTGGAAATCACACTTTGTGACACTCCAATGGCTTCGGCTACTTCGGCTTGAGTCTTACCCCCTTCTAACCTACCAACAACTCTTCACGTTTCTGAATCGGTTAAATGACTTCGCTGAGACATCGTGCTCATCCAAACAAAGCAGTCACTGAATGCAGATCATCCTTGTCTTCATTTCAGTTGAAAGTCAAATTTCATTCGCTGCCTCTGAAGCGACGTTTTTGACGTCGAACTCAAAATTAGCATACTCCACAGTTGGAAAATCAGAAAAATTTGCATTTGTGATTCTCTTTCATTTTCGGCAAACAAAATTTCGCTTATATCTTTATCTTATATAAAACATACAATATCCTTTAATTGTTTTCAGCAGTGTATATACTCAGATTGTTGAATTTGCTAATAATTTTTAATAATATTCTCATTGTATTTTCAATGCGGAAGTTTGTAACTTAATTGGATAGACCATTAAGAACATCGAAATAACATAAGCTGACAGGTTTGTGTAGAATGAGAATAATTAGCTTTCAAAAATCTTTTAATATTGTTAGCACCTTGGGCATCTTAGCTTTCTTTAATTTTGCACAAACACTTTTAATTTTACTTTTATAAGGCAACTTGTTGAAATCAAAGAACGACACCTTAGATTTTTATGTATCATGAAATAGTTTAATATATATCAGCAGATAGAAAAAGGCGAGAAAGGTATATATATATACTACATAATTAAAATATCTGTCAGCATTTAACTTGGTCAGCCGATTCATTTTCTTCTCCATACTAAGGTAGTATAATTGCTTAGAAAGATCTAAAAGTGGTTGCCTGCAGTATTTACAACTAGTTAAAGTGTGTGAGTAACTAGCATCAGTAATTATAACGTTTTTTTTCTTTAAAGAACTCTTTTTTTTGTAAGAGAACTTTTTTTTTCAAATCATTTAAACGTTTTGATTGAAAATTTTTCGATGATGCTTAAAAAAAGTCAGTGGTATTGCTTTTTCAGTACATGAAATGCATATTCGATATAAATTATTTTATTTAAAATACCCTCTTTTTTTGACAATTTTCTTCTTTCTGCATCGAAAATGAACTGAATAAAAAAAAAATCCGTCTTTGAATTTTACGCAAAAATTCCATTGATTCTTTAAATATTTGAATACCAAAGAAATCCATCTCATGTAGAGGTTTCAACAACTAACAAAATAACATGGAAATCCTCCCTTGAAGTACTCTTGAAAATGTATCTTAAAATATTTAAAACTCCTCCACCCCAAATCTCATAAAAGAGGACGGATATCAATTTTTATCCCTCCCTCGAAGAAACAAAATAGGCCAGTTAATAGGAGTTGTAGTGAACACCTTCCTGTGAACACACCAGGAAGTTACAACGTTTGGCAATAAAACTGTCAACGGCAGAGGGGTGGATCTACTCTCCCCTCATATCTATAAGCATAGCTTTGCTTCCGACAGCACAAGTTGTCCTCTCAGCACTCCCCCTCCACCTGAATTATAGTTTGTAGTGGGGGAAAGTGGGGAGGATCTCCATAAATGGGATTCAGGCTGTGGACCTTGATAGAATCATGCAGTCAAATTTAACGTCCCGTATCAGCCTTTCTGCACCAGACGTCCGAAATTCAGGAACTGCACAGAATTCTTTTTTTCCCTTTTCCCCCGTTTTCTAACCTCATCCTCTTTCTCTTTTCCCCCTCCTCATTCCTAGCCATCGTCTTCACCAGTAAGGGGATTCCATTCAGAAATGCGATAGAGTGGTGGAATACCTCGACTTCAGCGGTTTTTTTTAAGAAGAATTCGGACTATTCTGTGATCACTCGGAAGTTGGGAGTCCGTATGAAATGATCTATTGAAAAGAATCCCCGGTCAAAACATATCCACGGATCGATTTCTGCATGAAAATCTTCCAATATTTTGCCAATAGGAAAACTAAAGGAGATATCCTTATACATGCGAGGGAAGGTTTCATTTATATACGTGGAACTTTTTTAGTTCGTATTTGTTACGACACTTTAAGGAAAAGGGCGTTTTTTTCCCTGAATAAATTAAAGGCATATTGGTTTTAAATTGAGTTTTCTACTTATTTCAGTACAAAAAAATCTTAAATTAATTTCTTTAGATTTAAACATATTTTACTAACAGCGTTATTAAACATACATATGTAGAGTTGTTGTTTTCGTGTGTTTCATACTGGGATGCATACGAAAGACGAGAGATAGATGAACAGAAACATGCAATACAAACACAGAAGAATATAGACTTATATTACAAATAATGATCCCAACATAGAACAGAATGGGTGCGCTGCTTTCCGTTCGGGACGGGAATCCATTTCAGGTGAAAGTCCGACTTCTTTTCCGGAATCTTCTTTCCCGAAGATAGATCCATACCATATTCGGAATTTGAACCCGAGTCCATTCGATTACAAGCCGAGTGTCATTACCACCATACTAGGTGCGGGGAGGCATATGTAAAGATAAGCACGATATATTAAAGCAATCGTACTGTCTGAGACTGCTGTTGGTGAAAGAGTATGGAATGGTGGTGCAGCTTTGGTAGGGTTAATCTATTTTGGAGGAGAAGGCTGTTAGACCCCGGAGTGGACGGTCGAGGGAAGAAGGGGGTCCCTGGTTGTTTTCACAGGCGGGAAATGCGAAATTGTTATGGACCAGAGAAAAAATGGGATTCTCTCGGTGAGATAGTGTCCACAGGGTGTGGTCTGGTAAAAAGAGATTAGATTCTTTCGGGATTGATTTGAGATTGTAGTTTGATTGTTATATGATTGTGTTTAATCAATAGAACTTATGTTAATCAATATGTAGTATTTAATCAAGAAATGTGAAAATTAGATTTAGTTATATGTGTGAAATGGTTGATTTAATAAGTTATTAAGAAAGAAATAAATAAATGGCAGCAATATTTTAAAGGACAATCTTAAACTTTAATAGGTATATGTATCGAATCAAGCAAACAGAGCCATTTATGTTTGCTTTTTTTTAAATGTAAAATAAAGTTCTGAGTTGTTAAAATAAAATTATTTTCCTTAAATATACCAATGAATTTTTTATTCAAATTGTTTTTCAGTATATATCTTTATGAAAATTAAATGAAAACAATTCCTTAATTATTAGTTATTTTTTATCAATGTGTGTGCAATTAAAATGAATTCGTAACTGTTAATTTATAAAAATTTGAAAAATTAAAGCTAAAAAGTAAAAAAAAAAAATGTTAAATAAATAGTTCTATGTATTGAAAAATGCTGACTAATGTTAAAAGTTAAAAAACAATTATGAATACAGTTAAAATTTTTAAAAAATGTTGAATACGGTTAAATTTAAAAAAAATGCTGTATACGGTTAAATTTTAAAAATAATGTTGAATACTGTAAAATGTTAAAAATGTTGAACACTGTGAAATGTTAAAAGTAAATAAATAATCTTAAAAGATGTTAAATTTATAAATTTGCTTTGAAAAAAAATAGTTTATTATAGTAAATTATTGAAAATAAAAATAAATTAAGGAGTGATATTGTTATGTAATTAATACGCGATTGTTTTACCAGCCAAATAAACATATTACATTGCTGCTCAAGAAAATATAAGTTGTTTCTAGTTTTTATAACTATTTGCAAGCTTAATTTTAAAACCACCCTCTGAAAATTACAAAAATTAATAGATATGATCTTTCAACAAATTCATTAAATTTCATATCAGATGTAACATCTCTGATCAGAAAATTATATTAAAAGGAAAATGTTTTCGTATTCAGGAAAAGTGGATAAAATAAATAAAATAAAAATACTACACACTACAAACGAAATTCCTACATTTCTAAAGTTTGCAAAAGAATTCGCTCAATTTCTTACCGGAGAAGAATTGGGAGATCATATAAAGGAACGAAGCCGGGAAATTTATTTTGAAAGCAAAAATAAAGCTTCGAGATCGTGATCTGTCTCATAAATGATGTCTTTCTTTGTGAAGGTGAAAATGAAAGCAGCAGCGTATAATTTTAGAAAAGAAATCTTTTAAAGAATGCACCAAGTGACGTTTAGATGCTTTTTTACCTCCTAGAACTTAAAAGGAAAAACTGGAAATGTTACATGTATTATGAGAGCGACCAACAATTCAGTAATAAACTAAATTATCTTTCAGCGTGGCTACCATTACAGGTCAATTAAGTTTAAATTAGTTTGGGGAGGTTTTGTTTTAAAACAGATAATTTGTTTGAGTTTTTTACCAAGCATTCTTTTGTCAAATTTGCTGTTTCAAGAATTTGCGAGAATAATTGACATTATAAAGTTCACAGAACATTTTTTTGCTGTTAAATATCATTGTGAAAGAAAGAAAAAAAACATTCCTTGCGAGGAAAAATAAAACTTTTTGGAGTTGGTTACATTTCTGTGTAATTTTCTTAGTGTTGTTTCAACGAAATAAAATAAAGAAGGAGCAAATTCTTTTGCTTTCATCAACTACTTTAATTTTATATCATTAAATTATATAATTTTTCATGTTTTATTTGATCATATTTTTCTCAGAAATATTTGTTTATTTTCATATATGTTAAACACGTTATATGAACAAATACTTCATTAAAACCTTAAGCCATTCAAAAATAATTAATCTAGGCAAAAACAGTTATTTAAATAGTTATTATGCTTGAAGTATATTCGACTACGCTTAGAAATAATTTTAAAGAATTTTAATCAGATTTTGGAATTATCTCAAATGTTCCATTTCAAATAATTCTTCATGTTTTTGCAAACGTTTGCACAATATGTTTCTTATATATTTCTAGGGACTAAACATAACGCTTTACATTATTTCTATTGATTCAAAAACTATAATCAATTAGACTTATATATAAACTTGAATTTTTTTGACAATTTGTAAATATTTTTAAAGGGAAATCCATCAATGCCTGTTCTAAACTTTTTTCCATTTCTTAGCTTTTAGTTAATTTCTTTGGTAATACTTGAGTCATTAGAATATTAAATTTCACGCAAGTATCTATTGAGATATCATTAACTTTTACAAAAAATACGATTTTGAGAAAAACGAGAGTCAATGTTAATGAAATACTATTTAAAGGCCAGCAATTTTTTTTATCAAATTATCGCACAATACAAAAGTCATATTGAAAAAGATTGAATTTTAAAATGCTAAAATAAAAAAAAAATTGGGTTTTTTGACTGAAAATGAATTGCATATACGTAAAGAAAATTATTTCAACAGTAAGAACACATTACATTTACATTTACTATTTTATCCAAATTCATTGAAATTCCTGCCAAATAAATTTTTCAATACGGCCCATGAATTTTAACTCTATATTTAAAAAAAAATATTACAGAAAACAAGGTAATAAAAATAATTATTTCAGAAGCATTACTGATATACTTAGAAATATATATAGATATTTATAAAGAACAGAGGAGTATTTTCCCGAAATTATGAATTTATAGGAAACAAAAATTATTAGCTCTTTACTCAATATTCATATTTTAGTATCATAGGCTGTCTATCTAGCTTCTTAATTTCTGAATAAAGTGATATTAATTTAATCGAATGCATATTAATTTAATCGAATGCAGCGTTGATCTAAATTTTAAATAATTTAGTATTAAATATTCTACGTTTCTCAATATGTTAAACATGATTAATACACATGCCGTATTTTTATTTAAACTAAGAATAAATATTTCAGAACAAGTTAGATTCAAAATCACTGACAACTGCTTAATTTTATTTAGTACTATCAATGCTGAATTTTCCTTTTAAGTAGTTTTACTTAAAATAAATCAGAGAAAAGTGGCCAAATCAGCCTTTGGGATATAAAAGCATAAATATTTGAATCTTAAAATAAGTCCTTTCAAATTTTACAAATGGTAACTTCTTTTAACATTTATTTCTTATAATCAAGATTTAAAGTCGTATTAAAACCCATCTGGTTAGAAGAAAATCCTATCGTCCGTTTCTAAAAGTTCTCCGCTAAATAAACTTTCAAAATTGTGCAACAAACTGCGAAGAAATACCTCATTTATTGGAAGTCAAATATTTCTATCTTTTCCATGTCATGCTCACATAAAACGTTGAATTTATTTATTATTTTTTTTTCTTTTCCTCCCCTTCGCAACGGAATTGGAGTTGTTAGGAAAGCTAGCGACAAATCTGAATTTTGGTTTGGGAAAAGCTTTCCTGGTCTTGCCGACGTTCCCATTCTCCTGACAAGCGCAAAGAGTCGATTTCATGGTTCACAGGAGTCGGTTTTCTTTGCGGCCTCATACTAAGTCATCCGTTTATTATTCGGACCAGAACTAGTAGCGGACGAGTCTTGCGGTCGAAGTCATCCAGCGGACAAACAGGGCTGACTAGTCCCAGAGAGGTCTCCTAATGGGAACGTTAATCGGCTCGATCGATACATTCCGAAGCTACACTTCCTATTTTGTTCCTTCACCACCCTTGCATGGCCATTTAAGATTTCTTTTACAATAGGTGGCTCCTAGTTTAAGAAAGGGCTTTTAAGAAAAAATACAGAAAATTGTCTGCATGAAGCTAATTCTGCTTTAAAATTCCCTCCTGTTTCTTAGTTGCTATTTAATGTTTGATACTGTGTTACTAATAGCGCAAGCCCCAGTATAAAAACAGTCTATTTATTTCTTTTCGTCTGAAGGCTTATAAAACGTATATTGGATAGCTTTTGAGAGTTTCGTTGCAGTACCCCATTACAATAACTTTTATTTTCTCAGTTTTTTTTATTCTGAATTCAAGAATGTTATTAATATTCATTAAAGATCAAAGTTAAATAATGTAAAACTCCACTAATGCATGCATATCAGAGTTTCTCAAACTTTGGGGCGCACCTCCTAGGGGGGGGCATGATAACCCTACGTGGGGGGCACGAGTATATCAAAAAGTTGAAAATGAAAGATTATTTAAAAACACTATTGATAAACTAAATGGAAGCAAAACAAAATGCACTCTGAACTATGAAAAGTAGCATAATTATCCTATAACTTAAAAGTAATTTTAAATATTATATATAGTTAAAAGTAACATATATACAAAATTTAATACTTATATCTAGACTTCTGAAACTTTCAAAATTGACAAACTAATTTTTAATCATAATTTTCATCGTACCCTAACCCATAAAATGACAATGTATGGATTATAGAAATGATGTATTTTGACACTAAAGCTACAATACCACCTTAACTATAAACCGACATGTTATCATTATAAGTATTAATTTTTTTCTATTACTTCTACGTAATGAATATTTTAAGTTACTTTTAAGTCATAGGATAAGTATTATGTTACTTTTCATAGTTCAGAATGTATTTTATGTTTTGCTTCCTTTCAAAAAATCAATATTTTTTTAAAAAAATCTTTTATTTTCGATGATTTAGCATGCTCAATCCCCCACGTAGGGTAATCACACTTCCTAGGGAAGCGCACCCC